TTTTAAATATTATTGATTTAATGCGAATGCATACGTTTATTGAGTTAATAAACTTATGTATATAATTATACTTAATGCAAAAAACTTGCTTAAATACTCGGTCTTAAATTCGCGCTTCATTTTTAGAACTTGCTTCGGCAGCTGGGTGTATTGAAATCGTTGACAGAGCTACTTGACGACTGCACTTTGACCGACGCAGAGAAACTTATGCTCGTCCAATGTATTGGCAACATCGCCGTTAACCAGTCAAACAACAAGTATTTGCAGGTGCGTGCCTGGTGTTTAACTAATGTTTCCGTACGTCAATGTTACGCGATTAATCATACTCTGCTTTTTTATTAATGCGTGCCAATAAATAAGAAAAATACGTGCTTGGAATAATGTTCTTTTATTTCATTCATGATCCCAGTGTCTGCTATTCTTTATGCATACACTAGTTATTGGAGTATGTATTACTATAGAATTAGAATGTATCTGTAGTTAAAACTACATACACCATCCTACAGAGTAATGAATATGCAGTTCTACATGTATATAGTAGCCGTCCATATATCTTACAAATACATACATATAGAACTGCATATTCATAAGTATATGCAATGGCATTTGCAGTTTTCCATTGACATATATAGTATTCAATTGCAGATGCATACTGATAATATAGTAATACAAACGCCAATAACTAGAATATGTATCTGCAGTTAAAGACTATATGCTTCAGAAAACATGTGCCATTTTACATGGTTATGAATACACCGTTCTGATTTACATGGCTCTAAGATAACGTGATGGTGGTTATATACTACTATATTAAGATTTACTATTTGGTTCCTATATTGGTGGACATTTTAAAAATAGCGCAAAACGTTTTTTTATACACAACGTAGACAGTTTGGTCGATCGGATGATTGACTACTGCAGACGTTTCGATCCCTCTTTCACGAGCTTTCTTTAATGAAGAAATTGAACGATGTTCGGAAATACATAATGTGCTAACGCTGAACTGCTGCAGGACGCATGAAAGACTTCGAATCTCGTCTATTTTTACTTCTTGTCATACACCTGCCAAAATGTCTGTATGGTCATTCATGTGATTGACAAGTTGTTTTTAGTACATGAAGTATAGACCTCTACAACTATGTAGCTACGACGAGGTACAAATTTAGTTCAGTGTATAGTCTGAACCACATCAGAGTAACGGCTGCTGAACATGTCCAGAAATTAAACCTTTATCCAGCACTGTGTTCTAACTAATAAGCGTAATGAGTTTATAATGAGCATAATAAATGTGAGTAAGCATAATAAGTTTCGTTGTTTTGGAACCAAGGCTTCGTCTGCAGAACATGAACAGCTGTCTTTTGCCCATGCCCAAAACAAAGGCGCTGATCTTCCCAGACTTTGCAGGCTGTTGAGGCTATATATTTATCACATCCTCCAGTTATCCAGTCCACTCTGACTATCTGACATTCCGTTTTCCTTACGTGTCATAAGAATCCTTTACCAATCGACGGAATGTGTAGCGGATGAATCTCAATCCCGTCATCTACGGTTGATGAACACGGTTGTCTTCAAATGACTGAAAGGTTTTTTCAGAAGCAAACTTTAATTTGCTAATTAACATTTAAATATATCAGTTTTTTACGCATGCATGTTAGAATTTTTTTATTTGTATTTTTCTCAGGATTTTTTTTTGATTTTTTAATTTAATAAAATGCAGGTATTCACCGAGTCGATATTATCCCTTTATTCATACGCATAGTTGTTTTTTACGTACTTCTCTAAGGCTTAGTTTTGCCCATATTTTTACAGTGTTGCGTGTAAATGAATCGTGTTTAATTAAATTAAATTACTGAATATTTTCTGTTCTCTTATGCAACATAAATGTCTAGATCGTTGTTCCTTGCCTTGTAAAGAGCTGCCTTTCCAAAGATTCGACAGAGCTACAGCGGATCGCCTCCTTTCAGACGTTGACCAATCTCTCGGTGGACGTGCCTGCAGAGCATGCAGCATGCTACGCTACTCTTTTGCCAGTACTGTATCAGAGGCATGTGTTTACGATTTAGCACCGAACGCTCGCACCTTACGCCAGCATCTATCTATTTTAGAGTCGGTAGTGGCGGTCATTCGGTTATGGTTGCGCTGAAACTTCTCGGAAATTTGACATCTTCCATCGACATGGCGCCATATTTGTTGACCTCTTCGGTTTGTCCTTTAACTTTTTATGGTCTAATTTTTTCGATATTGACATTTAACCACAGAAAAAAAATTGCTAGCTTTACCATATATTGTAAAACAAGAATTCGGATACGTTTCTTCATTTTAAATCTGCCCCATCGTAGGTTAAATAAATGTCTTTCTTTCTGAAAGTCTTATGCTGATCACTAACTTTCTGTCCAGTGTGTGCTTCAGTATTCTCACTCACTATATTACCAGAAACTACTGACGAATACAGATGAACAGTGGAATATTGTATCAGTGTTAAATAATATTTTTCAAGATCAGACGTGAAAAGTATGTACTCTGTTGTGTGAGCTCTCTTAGCCATATATGTCCATGACAAAACACTCTAAACAGAAAGGGACCATAACAGCCTTACCATAAACCTAGTTATCGGTGGCAGTAGAAATATCAAAACGTTACTCTGACTCATAGAACAAGATTTAGTATAGGACTCTAAAGTCACATTCTTCCACAGTGGAATGTAAATAAAATCTAGCTAGTTAGCGATGTGACAAGTCATGAAACTCTCCACACCGCATTGTTTATAAATCACAGATTGACGAATGCGATGCTCTGAATAACAACCTGGAATGTTCGTTCGCTCGCAAGTCTAGACGTTCAGGTATAATATTTTTATTTACTCTCCATACTTCTTACTTATTTACTCTTACTTCTTTTCATAGAGCGGGTGCAACTAGCAAACAGCTGGACCAGATGACAGATCAGAGAGTAGGGTGAAGTGTGTATCGTTGTCTCTACGGTAGCCTTGAATGCCGGTCGTGAACTTCAAAAGGGTCAGATGACGAGGCTATGGGGGTTGAATTTGAGGGAACTCATTTTCTCTTTCATCGACAAGACAGACTCTGCAGTTACCAACATTGCAGTTGACGAATGGGAACTACTTTGATCATATCACTGTAGTGTAAGTGGCGTTATTCGTTTGAGCAGCGGGTGACAAATGATCAACTTTGATAACGTTGGATTAAAATTCAGTAAACGGGGAGCAGGGAACATTGCCATTGCCACCTTGATGGTCAAAACCTAGAATGTACAACACAGGCTTTGTCTACGTTTCGCCATCCTTTCCACCTCTAATCGCATGGCCATTATAAATTTCATGACAAACCTTCACAACTAGCGTGAGGTTTTGAAGGGCAAACCCTACTGTATTGAAAACGCAGTGATCAATTGTATTTAACGGAAAACTATTTTTATGACCGTTGTCGTTTCAGGCTGTTCCATGTCTCGTTGCACTGCTGGACAAGGAAAAGCAGTCGCCTGATGTGATCGTTCGTTCGCTCAATTACTTGACTAATTTGTACAAAATGGCTGAAAACCCCGAAGTGATTCATCACGTGCTGGACAGACAGCTGCTACCTCTTTTGAACTCCTCTCCTACTAACCTACTGCCAAAGACGACAGTCGATCAGCTGAATGATCAGCTGGTGGCTCTTCATAATTACCCAGACTCAGAAATATCTGACAGAGTCGACTATTTAATGGAACTGGTGGAAGAGTATTACTGTGACAACTGAAGGGGAGAAACAAATTATTTCAGCACTTATGTTGACTCACAAAGTTGAAAAATCATTTGACACGTGAGCTTGCGTTTGCAGCACTAAATGTTCAACTTAGGCCTGTGGAGTTGCTGCGTGCGAGAAATTTTGATATCATAAATTATTCTTTCTTAACTTGTCTGTTTTTTACGAATGTCTCTGTGATTGATCTCCTAAAGTTTTTTACCGATCGTTGCTTTGCTAAATGCCGCGACTTCAAAATTTATGGCACTTGATGAATTCAGGGATGTTTTTCATACTGTTCGATGGTTCACTGTTTTATAGCCACCTAATCCAAACTCTCAACCGTCAGCTTCCAGCATATATATTCTATTTTTTACCAATTTTATTGTCTGTCATAATACGCAATTTTGCTACTGTTTACTACTGCGAATAAAATATTACTGTTAATAAAATTATTCACCATTGGTCGCAAAAACATTTGTACAATAAGACAGCTACAGTCAGACCGAAACCACCGTTTGGCCAACGTGACCGACTCGAAGCTCTAGGTTGCCTACAAAAATCGGACAGAACAGTCATGCAGAGAATGCAGAAACGACCAGATGATTTTCTCATTGGCGCCTAAGACCAGAAGTGCATTACGACCGGCTGGTCAACGCGAGTTGAATATGAAGAAAATAATCAGAATGGTGTGAAATGACTAGTTCGCGTTGATAGCACTCCTTGGAAGAGTGAAGAAAGCCAGCGGTTCGTCGCTGCGAAAAAATCAAACAGCCCCTTAGCGTTGATGAGGATTAAAGAGCCTGCTGAGGCTTCAAGCTACCACGAAAGGCGACATTTGTGAACATTCAGGGAACTGCGGATTCAGCTCGTCACAAGACGGTTTTGTACGTGATTCTACAAATAGTGCGGGATTTTACAAATTATCGTAAGCCTAAAACGCACCGTTGCGACGATTCAGTGAGATTGGTATGGCATGAGCTCTCGTGTATCGTCCAGCGTCACGAATGGGCAGATGACATCGTGTTGCTTAATAATCTATCAACACTCATAGAAAACAGGAAAATGTTCGTAACGGAATGGCATGGCAATGGAGATGTTAACTATTTCAAATACTAAGGAACTTTATTAATAATCCTGATTTTAAACGAACTGACGAATTTTTAATTTGTATTAGGTGCATTTTTGGAACTGATATCAAATACGAAAGAAGCAAATGCCTGTTGTTACGAAACGCCGTTACTATTTCAGCAATTTTCATCAACGCCGTCTCTGAAAAATTTTTAAAGCGTCATAGCACCCTTAGGTCATTAAACAGCATATGAGGCATAAAAACGGTTTACAGAGAGAATAGCGTATGACTTGGTTGGCTTTAAAGACATCATATGACTGTTTTAAGATTTTTTCTTACGAAACTATCTACTGACTACAGACGCATTTGAATGTGGCACTTCAAAGTTGCAAACTTATTTCCCACAAGGAATATGCCAATTGCTGTATAGGTGAGCGCTTCTGACGGTAACAAAATCTCGGCCACTCTGCTGGCCACAGGTTAGAAGCCCTATACAACAATGATAACAAGAAAAAATGTCAGTATGTATCAAACCCGGTTTATTATCCCCAGAACAAGAGATGACCCATCCCACTCATCACCATTTCCTTTGAAAAAGCTATCATTCAAATGCCTTAGCACTTTCATCAATTTCAATCGATGGTATAAAAAGGAAATTACCAGTAGGGAAGATTTCCTTTAGTTCTGCAAACCGCTGCAGACGCGACACGAAATTAATCTGAAAGCAACATTTCAAGCACTGTAGGGTAGCATCCAATCTATCCTGCTCTACTGATGCAAGAGCTGAGCCTTAAGAATCGAAATAATTAGTAAACTAGGATCCCTCGACTACATGTGTTTATGAGTCTTCTGACCAACGCGATCTCTACCATGTACTGAACCCCAGAATCCGCGCTCACTGCAACACCGGCAAGCTCTATACCGTTCGATAAAATGGCGCATGCGTTGGCTTGGACACGCGTAGAGATATCCACCGAACGATATTACGTTCACTGTACTGAGCACAACCATGATCCTGAATGGCATCGGAAAAGATGCGAAAATTTAAGACTTTGTGGGGCACTGTCAGAACTGATGATAAAGTCCTTCCTGGGTCGGCGGTGTACAGCTACAAATAGTGGAAAAAAGACTGGCTGAACGTGGTGGCTGACTTTAAGCGTCATCAATTGAGGTGGAAAACAGTTATCCAGGACGTCATTTAACAAGTAAAGCCATTGAAGGTGACAGCCATAGCATCAACAATAACGTCCCTTTTATTGCTCAACGCAGAAATATGTAATTACAGTAACAAATAACACACAAAGACAATGCGGAGGTTACGGAGGATTCTTTGAATAAAGCAATGACGAGGTGCCAGTCACTGAAGAGTCATGCCGTTGGTTGTACATACTATCTCAATGATATGATGAAGTCGTTCAAATCGCACATCACTGCCGTTAGTCCAGTGCCAGAGATTCATTTTCCTGAATTAAATTACGTCTAAA